TTAAATAGTTGCACTCAAAATGTCTACATTATTATATTATTTGGCTCCAAAAGAAATTGAAGAAAAGATTCAAAGTCTAGCAGATTCTAAAGTACTTGTTTTTCGAACATAAGAAATGTGAGAAACATGTAATAACCAAAGTATTTCTTGAATTATTGAATCAGACCATCATTTTGGTCCAAAGAGGGTGGGAGACATCAAGAAGGGAATGACTCTAATTTAAATTCTTTTCTTTATCTCTTATTATTGTAATTGTTTATGAAATTCTATTAATTTATAGGACTACTAAAGTAAGGTGGAAAAACTGAGAAAAGGACACTCAAATTTTTTAATTCATATGCTCTGGCCTTATTTTGGTGTTTAAGTATGAGAGGTACTCAATAAATGCTTGTAATGCATGATTAGAGAGACTATGTCATTTGCACTGGCTATAATTTAAGAGATTTAGAAAAGACACAAGAGGCTAAATATTAATACTTGTTACAAGTAACAAGAAAACCTAAAGCTGCATTTTCAATAAATCTCCTTTTCCTGTCTCTAAAGCTCTGGCATGGTCTCTTAATTTTGATAGGTTATTTCAAAGTATAGTATGCACTGACTCCTAAGAAATTTTCACCTTAGGAAACTCAGATTAAATTTATCATTCCAGAAACATTATAGCATTGATGCCACATATAAATAGCCTTAAAGTCATATCTAAGGCAAGGCAGCTTGAGGGAATCCTTCTACCTCTTCAGGAGCTGTTGTATTTTGGTTTTGTTTTCCAAATTTAAAATGGAAAAAAACTTTACTTTTGTGACTTTATATGCGAGAACATGTGTAAATATATGTGGCAGTGCAGGTGTGGAATATATACTTTTCCTCTGAGTATATATGTGGAATTTATTGAAAAAACAAAGCTCTAAAAATTTTCTTAAAATTTAAATTCATGAATATGTGACAGTGAGGGTTCAGATTAAAATAATCCTTAATATCAGGATGTTTATATTAAAAGGTACAAAATAATTTCTGTACACTAAAAGATGTTTTCCTTTGTATTTTCTATACCATTATATTCTGTTAATTTAAGCTTTTTGCTAGATTAAAAGGTATCCAGAAATCAATTTTCAGAATTAGGCCTCATTCTGGCTTGAAATAGGGATACAGAAGAAAAAAATCAGCTTAGTGATATCAGCGATTATCTTTAAGGGAAAGAAAAGGAGAGAAAGACACATTAAGGCCCCAGACATGTAACTGGAAGAGTATGGATATGACAATCCCATTGGTAAAATACTGATTAAACAGTTTCTATTTATCAGATAGTATATATGAGAACAAACATGAAATTAGAATATTAAAAAAGTTATCAATGTGCAATGTCATTACTGACAAAAGAGAAACAATTAAAAGCATTACAACCTGAGTTATATATCAGGAGATTTCACTTATATCTATTCCAGGGTAATAAGTTAATAGCCTTCTGAGAAGGTATGTCAAATGTTTCATAATGTCATGAAAGAAATGATTTTAAATCAATGCGGAAATAGCAAATAAAGGAAATCCTAAACCCTGCAGAAAACACTCTGTGGACTCATTAGCACCTTTAAACATGTAAAGCGCACAAATTCTAAAGTAGGTAGAATCATAAAATGCTACAATTACTTGCCATTTTTATTTTGGACTTTTCTTTCAAAATCAATATTTGTATTATTTTAAATTGTAGAAAGACTTAAAAAGTTTTCTGCATAATCATTCTAGCCTAAAAAGAGTAGAAAGTCTCTGTAAATGATTTAATTTTTATCTTCAATGTCTTTTAGAATAATACAAGTAATTTCCTTTTTTTGAATGATTAATCTCATGATATTTAGCATGTTAAAATCTTCAACTTTTCATTTTAATTAGAATACAAATTGTTAGTGAATATGTTTTTTCTCTATAACTTCTCTTGTGTCCAAATAATATAAATTCTCAATAAAAATTACAAGTGATATTAATATTTTTCAATATATCAAAATTAAGTGATTGTATCATCATTCAGTCAAATTATTTACAACTAAAATATATTTGACATAGGAACAAATGTCTGGTTTATAATCTATTAAAGAGAAATTACAGTGATAAAGGAATTTAGTTCCAAATGAGAGGATATGTCATTATGTTTTTGTATGTGTTTATCATAGTTTAGCACAGCCAGGACAGAGAAATGTATATAATAATGCCTTTAAACCATTCCTTGAATGAGTTTTTTTCAATAACTTCTTAGTATTTAAAGATAATTTCCCAATTTTTCTCTTGCTTGACAAATCTTTAGTGAATTAATTCAGAATACTCTAGATACTACAAGGTGGATAAGATTTTATTAGTGCAGACAAAAGTTAAGGAGTTTATGGCCTTCAATGAGATAAGAAATGTCCTTCAAGAATCATATCATTTAAGCCTTTGAATCAATATATTTATATAATATTAACCTAAAATGACTTGTCTATAAAAATCAAAATACAAAGTCCAAAGATGTTTTGCTCATGTGACAAGTACCTTGAAATTCAAGAATGGGTATTCAAAGGAATGAAGAGGAATTTTATGTAATATATTTGTTGCTAAAAAATATGAGCCTCAGATTGTTTTTTGATAAAATTTGTTTTCCTTTAAACTGCTATCTGCTAAGTCCTAGCTTCAGCATACTAGGGTATCATTTAATTAAATTAAGACAAATTTAATTGAATGAATAATGCACAATCATAAAGTATCACCAATTTTTAAATGACAGTACATTAAAAAATGTGTCTCACTGAAGCTTGTAGTTAGTTATGTTGAAAATTAAGCTTTGTTTCTTGGGTTTAGAAGGGATTCCAGTATAACTGAGAAATTATCCTAGAATTATCTTGTTATTCTCATACAGAAAATTCAGGTAAATATGGAATCTGTATGTGGAGATATATATATATATATATATATATATATATATATATGTATGTTAAAGCTATATTTTCCTGATGTCACTAAATAATTGGTAGACTGTACCTTCTCTCAAACATTTTATCTAATAACCCAGATGTAACAAAGTGGATTATTTTCAAGTAATTTTATGTATGTATTTGGGGAAGAGGTTTTTTGAAAGAAGTGCTGATTCACATACAGGTAGGCAAGAATGCATAGCTGAATGTCATCAGTAAATTCACATTAAGAATACATAGGTTAAATAAATACACTGTGCCAAGTGTACAATAAAATATTTCCTGTGTTTTATGTATCCTTTAGGAACTCTTAAACACATATATTTGTTGTATTCTAGAACTTGACTCTTTTACCTTTTTTATTCATTTCTCCGAAGTGTGAAACTAGCAAAATATTCTATTCTAAAGATCTCTATGTCCCTAAATATAACAAATTCTTATTGGATTTATTGGAAAGGAAGAAACTAATACATATCTCCATCGTAAGTAAAGGAATGAGATTACAAACCAGTTCTGAAAATGTATTATAGTTATCTTCCATTTGGGATAGGAATGGTATAAAATAGAAAGATAGTTTCATTGGTAGTTATATTTCACTAAACTTAGTTATTTAATATGATCGAAATTTGAGCAGTTTTTCTGAAAAGGGTGGTGAAATCTGCTTATAGTCCAGAAAGCAGAGACAAAGATAGGCCATTCTCTTCAAATGACTTCAGAAAGGAGAAACCAGTGGGGCTCCAACTTCTGTCGGGATGAGGTTAATTGTCTACCACAGAGCACAAACTGTTTTCCAGCAAAAATTTTAAGAAGTTATCATAGTTATTCTAACATTAAAAGTTAGAGATAGATTTTTACACATAGTCTTGAAAACTTTGAAACTTTGAAAACTCTTAAATTAATGTGAGTTAGAAGACATAGAGTTTTCAGATACAAAGAGAAAGAAAATTCAAGGGAAGTAGCAATGTTTTATGAAAATAGATCGTTAATACTATAATTTGAGGATATAGTCATAAATCTTTTCAGAATACAATATGCAGTCTATTGGAAAGCACCTAATTCTGTATATTTATGAGTTAAATAGGTGCTGAAGAGTCAAAAGTAAATGAGTTCAACAGTAACAAAATCAATATGAATATAGATTTCCTGACTTTTTTGGACTTTACGGTATATTTTCATATTTGTGCAAGTTTAAATGTTTCCATAAGGACTTTCATCAAATTTTATATAGTAGTTCAACACCTAACACTTTCAAATAGATGGCTCTTATTGCTCATTATAAATGACCTAACAATAGTCTGTATGAAGTATGAAAAAGTTTGTTGTAGGAAAAGAGCACATTCATGCTTTCATTTGCTTATTTTTAAGGAAGATTGTTTATGCTCAATTCAATGTCAGTAAAACCTTTTACAAAAGCTTTTGTTGAGGCTCTAATTTTTATTTAAAATGAAAAATATAAATATGATGCATTTATTGATATAATAGTCAATAAAATTCATGGATATTAGTATACACAATGATTGGTATATTCATATTGAAAACATTCAGAACTTGAAAATAAAAGCAATTATTAATATGGGATAGTTATTTCCCAAAATGCTTGTTCACCAGAGTATCTCCTTTATATTTATCAACCTATAGGGACAGAATGCTGGCTTACTAGAATTATTAGTGCCATTCCTCTAAAATCTACCCAACACAGACAGAGGCTTTCCAAACATTACAACTGAAACATGCAAACATAAACATTTTCAAAAATCCATTTTGAAGGGAAAAAAAATGTCAGAGAAAGATATTGCTATATTAATGACAGAAGAAACACCAGCAAATTAATATCACCAGCAAATCAATATAAATAGTACAACTGGAAAAGAGAAAATGTGTACTTAAAATAAGTTAGCACTACAATAGGAAAAGGAAGGAAGATTTAAGAAATATATCATGCTTTGAGGTTATCTACTGATATATCGCTTGCCTGATTTGTTGGGATGTGCTTAACAGTCAAATGGTCAGATCAAGGTAAGGAAGAACTCAGCTGCAAAAGTTCAGAATCACAGCTTCCTCTCTTACCTTCCACTGAGGAGGAAGCCGATAACCACTGCCAACAAAATGACTCCCACTGTCACAGACACCGCAATTATAGGAATCTGGCTTTGATCGCTGGATGCTGCAACTGCTGATAGGAGACACAGAAAATGGAGTCTGTGGTTAAAGTGATCATATGCATTCAAATAAGAGGTGCTTAATAATCTGTAATCAACACATGGTTTAAGCAATTCATCCATTCTGGGCTGAGATTTCCTCCTAATATCTCTTCTCAAAAGTGTGTAATTGAAAAGACATCTTCAGGAGAAAACATTTACTCTTCGAATGGAAATTCAAAAGAATCACTAAGTATCTGATTATTCCTTGTCATCATAAAAAATGAATGTAATTGTTTGCATAGTATTCATCTAGGGATCTTAGGTTTGCAAGATAAAATGGAACTTAGTCACTCATTTGAAACACCTTAATCTTAATAGGAAGTGCTAAGTATATGAGATTTGACATTTTAGAGTTTGCATGTGGCTGTTATTTAGTTTCTCTAGGGAAAAAAAAAATCTCATTAACTCAGATAGGATTTGTCCCATAGACATAGGTTGAAATTCAAAATGATGTGGCTATGACCCCAGTAATGTTTAATATAATGACTATTCTGATATTATAATAAAAAAAGCATTTCAAATAGAATGTAATCAGTAAGTAGGATTACTTTTTCAAAAATATCAATACATTTAAAACTTTGAGAATTCTTCAGTCAGATTAGATTCATTTATGTCATCTATTTTGTAAATAGAGGGATTTACGTGAAATATTATATATTTTAATAATGTAATTACTATGATTAAAAGAATAGGGATATGATTAAAGAGTTGTAGCCACATAAGCAAGGACATTTTTCTTTTGTTTTTGTAACTACATCTGATTAAAATAAGAAACCTACAGAGAAGAATACATTTTACTAATGTTTTCAAGAAACCCTTAAGAGGATATATGCTGCTAAAGGACATAATTTTGTGACAAATTCAGACTGTCATAAGTTCATTTCTGTGATAACAATTTTTTTTAACTGAAAATGGTTTCTTTTTTTAATATAAATTTTATTTTTATATTCCCCATACAATTGCAACCCCCTTATTTTGACCCCAATCCCTCCCCTCCCATCCCCTACCCCCCATAGAGTGTCTCTGGTTCATAGTTTTTTGTTGATTTTGATTTTCACTTTCTTATAGTTATTCATTTTCCTGGTCCCTTATTTAAGTTTTCTAGATTCCTGCTATGAGTGAGACCATCCGGTATTTTTCTTTTTCTTTCTGGCTTATTTCGCTGACAAGATATTTCTCTGCCTATGAGAAACTGTTATTAAAAATAGCTAAATATAAGAACTTGTTTTCATTTATCTTTCAAGATGTTTTTTATATTTTTGATTAACTGATTTTTTTAATTGAGGTAATATGCCTTCATCAGATATTACCACTATAGCATATCCATCACCAAATCACTCCTAGTCCACCACCACAGTCTATTGTGCTTCCCTCCCTCTTTGTTCTTAGTTCTCTCCTGTCTCTTTCCCTGTTGGTGCTTCAGTTCTGTAGTCAGCTATCAAGGACTAATTTTTAATCATGTCTTTATATGATTCTTAGTTTAGTTATTTTATATTCCACAAGATAAATACTGGATGTTGTCACTAATATGCAGTATCAAATTTTAAGTCATCAAAACTAATATGCTTACTTTGCATGTTTCATTAGTTACAACCCCATACCAGATCTTGGTCTTATCAGCAGTTTTTGACATCCAAACACTTTTCTCTCTATTCTCATCACCTCTGTCTTGATTCTTTTTAACCTGATTAACTGACCCTTTGACCATCTTCTTGCACTGATCTACTTTCAACACTTTGAGACTCGTCTTCAAAGCCCATTTTCAACAGTTTGTTCATGTATGAGAACAACTAAATCAATGTTCTTACCCAGCCTTTTCTTAGATGATAATGGTTGTAATTCAATGTCTCTTTCCTCTGTTTTATTCTGTTCTCTGATGTTGAAGACCATGGAAAGGAATTTAAATACTAGAGTTCATTATAAATGATGTAAAACAAAGCTACCTCATCACCATAAGTAGTCTTCCCAAAAAGTTGCTTTATTAAGCTTTGGAAACAGCCCAAATGCCCAAAAATAGATGACTGGATCAAGAAAATGTGGTACATATATACCATGGGATATTACTCAGCATTCAAAAAAGATAAACACATGCAATTTGCAGCAACATGGATGGCGCTGGAAGGGATCATGCTCAGTGAAATAAGCCAAAAAGAAAAAGAAAAATACCGGATGGTCTCACTCATAGCAGGGATCTAGAAAACTTAAATAAGGGACCAGGAAAATGAATAACTATAAGAAAGTGAAAATCAAAATCAACAAAAAACTATGAACCAGAGACACTTTTTGGGGGTGGGGGGCGGGAGGGGAGGGATTGGGGTCAGAATGGGGGGGTTGCAATTGTATGGGGAATATAAAAATAAAATTTATTATTTAAAAAAAAAAGTTGCTTTATTAACCTCTAAACTAGGATTACAATACTTCCACCATTACTTTTTCTTGGTTCTTTAACTTTCATTTTGACAGGGACACTGTTTCTGGAATAAGTCCTGTAGATTTGGTCATAGGAGGTCAATGACATTTTGATTGGGCTCCAGCTGCTCCCAGTGTTTTTGATTCTCTCATTAATTCCTAACAAAATCAGCTCCACAATGAGTCTTCATCTCTTTAGTATAACTAAACCATCCCCACTTCTAATGTTTTAGAAATACTAAAGTTTATAAATAAAAAAATGAATTCTGAACTCCATGGTTAAATGTAATTGCATAACTTTCTTTTGCTAAATCTAAAACTACTGTTAGAGATCTTCCTGTTTCTTACAAAACCTTTTTATTTCAAAGAACTTCCTCCAGGAGAAATTTTCATTATCTTATAAGCTAATTCTGTTACTGACAAACCTGAATGAACATATCCTTTTTGGGAAAACAAATCCTTAAACCTAACTTTCTGATTTTAGTTCAATTTGACTATAGAACCATGACCAAGATTTATTAGACAATGGATCAAGGCAAATTATTTAACCTTGTAAAGTCTCATTTCAATAATCTCTAAATAGAGATAATTTCCCTGAATTATTATATTCATGTTTAGAAATAATACATAAAAAGCAAGTAGCATAGCATTTCATCTATTGCCAGCTTTAAATAAATAGTAGATATTATTTTTACATATTTTATCTTCTGTTTTATTTACCATTTTTATTCTGTCCTACTTTCCTGACTTATCTTCTGAGAATCTTTCCTGCTTTTCCTGTTCTTTCCTGACTCATCTTCTGAAAATCTACCTCATTAAATTATTTCTGAAACTTCTCTTCTTCTGTCTTTGAGCTCCATGAATTACATATTTGCTAATTTCAATGTATATTTCTCCATGTGCCTTACCACTTTCTATAATAACATATTTAACCTTGGTGAACCTATATTTCATTCTTGAAACTCTCCTCCTCTTGGTTTCTGTGAACTCAGATGAGCTGCTTTCTCTTTTTTCCACAGTAAAGCACACTTTGTCAGTTCTTCTGGCTCCACTTTCTCTTTCTACATCATATATACAAACAGTTATTGATGAATATTTCTCTCCTCTTCTACTCTTCCTGTCTTTTCTCATCCTATCTCCTTTCTCCCTCTTCATAGATGCATCTTTGCTCATGGCATCAGATAATTAAAAGTTGAAGAGTCCCAAATTTGTATATTCAACCCTTATTTGTCTGTAAAATATCACTTTATTTTAAAAAAAGTTTCCTTTATTAAGATTGTATTTTCACATAAAATAAACATGCCTAAAATCATCCCTTAAACCACATTCACCCAAAGGCATTAACAAAATCACATCAATAAATAAACACACCATAAATCTAACCACCAAACCAGATTAATTTTAATGATCTCTTTCTGGTTTCTTGAACTATCATTGATTTCTTAAACCCCTAGTAACCATTAATTACCAAATATGTTTTGTTTTTCTTTTATGCATTACTTCCCTCATCCAACACTCATTTATTTGATTCAAATTTGCTAGAATATTGGTCAAAGCCTCTTAGAAATATCTAAAATAAAGCCACTTTGATCTTGTTTCTTAAATCAAAAAGCTAACAGATGTTTAAAACCTATGAGGAAAAAATTCTGAATTTTCAAGGTAGCATTCAAAAGTCTTTCTTCTGAATCTAACAACTCTTTTGGGTTTCAGTGTACCACTTTGGGTACTCTCAAAGATTTGGATTTAGAGGAAGGGGACATGATTAATGAGAATTAGGGGTAAAAACAGAAAATTTAGGCTAACAAATAATAATTTGAAGGAAAAATTATGGGTACATAGTAATACCAAGTGTTTCATTTTACATAATTTTCAAGATCTAATTTAACAATGTGATAAAATATGCTCCTAGGTACAAGCAAATATTTTGCATCAAAATCATTTCTAATAGTATATTAAATGTTCTTGAATAACATATGTTATGGAAATATTTTGTAAGTAATACCAAATCACATTTGTATTTGTATGTTTTTATCTATGCCCACTGTAAATTAAATTTAAAGTAATAAAAATCAAGGGATCTTGAAGAAAAAAATTTAAAATCACATTTTCATGTATATTTTGAAATTTATAAAAATTTCTAATTTCCCATTGGGTTTAAGTTACTGATTATTTCATAATTTATTTGTTTTTTTTTTTTTTTTTTTTTTATAGAGGCATGTTTTATTTATTTATTTGTTTATTTGTTTGTTTTGTTTACACATGCACTGGGTACAGTCAGAAGCGCGGGAGGGTGAGAGAATTCACCAGAGCCAGAGCGGGGAGCAGAGCAGGCAGACTGACGAAGTACACTGCTGAGGGGAGCAGCGGGCGGCAGGAGAGGTCTGCGCGCCATGTGGGAACCTCCTCCGGTGGCCGGGGAGCAGCCGGGGATCGAACCGGCGCCGCAGAGGCTGCGGGCAGCTTCGCAACCCAGCGCTCAACCGCTGCGCCACCGGGGAGGCCCTGATTATTTCATAATTTATTTGTAAGTTATTTCTAATGAAAAATGATTCATCAAGATTTTGTACTATTTATTCCTTTGATTCCCAAGCCAGCATTAATAATATCCCCTTTCATATCAACCAAGTTGGAAATACATAGAATTTATAGGGCACTGTTAAGCCCCTCATGTTTATTCATTCCTTAGGAACATAAAAATAATTAATAAGCCTAGTGTGATCCATGATTATCCTGTTAATATGTTGTTAGACTTTGTAATATTCAACGATATAAACCTCTAGTCACTCATATTTCCAATTTTATTATGTATTTTTATTAATAATTAGTTGATTTATTATGTACTTTTGAAAGAATAGCTGTTTTGGGAAAACTAAAAATTTTGCAACAATTTAACACTAGTATAAAAGGATCTCACAAAAATTAATATTCTTGAGTCAATAATGATTTTTTTCAGTCTTATATATTTATATGATCCATGGTAACTTCAAGATTCCATATGTCGGGTCTCCCCTGGTGGCGCAGCGGTTGAGCGCTAGGCTGTGAAGCTGCCCGCAGCCTCTACAGTGCCGGTTCGGTCCCCGGCCGCCGGGCGAGGGTCCCACATAGCGCGACAGACCTCTCCTGCCGCGTCTGCTGCTCCCCTCAGCAGTGTATTTCATCACTCTGCCTGTTCTGTTCCCCACTCTGGCTCTGGTGAATTCTCTCACCCTCCCGCACTTCTGGCTGTACTCAGTGCTTGCATAAATAAATAAATAAATCTTAAAAAAAAAAAAAGATTCCATATGTTGAAAAATGACATTTTCCATTTACTTTGCTCCAACACCCTTTGTGTTTACCAAATACAAAGTTGTAGGCAATCACTAACTGATCCAGCAATTGTATTATTGAGCATAAATACCAGGAAATTAAAAATTAGGTTGAAACAAGAACAGATATAAATGTTCATAACATCTTTTTTTATAATAGCAAAAGCTGGAATCAGTGCAGATGTCCATCAACAGATGAATGGTTAGACAAACAGTGGTATGTGCAACACATGCAGTACTCCCTAAAAATGAAAATAAATAACCTTGTTCTACACAACAACTTGGATGAATCTCCAGGGAATTATTCTGAGTAAAAAATGCCTGTTTCAAACTAAAAGTTCACATACTGTATGATTCCATTTATAAAACATTTTTTAAATGTCAAAATTTTGGAAATGGATGCTTCCAAATTAGTGGTTGCCAGGGATTAGTTATGGCACAGGAATTGCTACTGAAGACAGTGGGTGATTTTATAAGACAGTAATACAAAGAATCCATGATATTGTAATATTTTGTATCTTGACTGGGATGGTAGATACAAAAACCTACAAAGATAACTACTGTATAGAAATTCATACACACAATTTCAAAGGACCACCAGCAACAGTGCTGGTCTCTGAAAGCAAATAATAGGGAGGCCAAACAAAACAAAACAAACAACAACAACAACAACAAAACAAATAGCAGTATGTTTTCTTAGTAGACTACTATGCTACAGAGAACAAATCACCAGAACCTAATCACTAAGATATGGAAGACCTGTTCTTCTTATCAAACATAGAGTTCAAAATTTCCATGATAAATAAGTTCAAAGAGGGCCTCCCCTGGTGGCGCAGGCACTTGAGTGCTGCGCTGTGAAGCTGTCCACAGCTGCAACGGTGGTTTGATCGATCCCTGCCAGCAGGCAAGGGTCCCACATGGCGCGGCAGACCTCTTCTGTCACTCCTGCAGCTCCCCTCAGTGGTGTATTTCATCAGTCTGCCTGTTCTGTTCCCCGCTCTGTCTCTGGTGAAACCTCTCACCCTCCTGCAAATCTGGACTGTACCCTGGTTCTTGTATAAATAAATAAATAAATAAATAAATAAATAAATAAATATTTTTTAAAAAATAAGTTCAAAGAAATGGGAAAAAACAGAAAAACTGATGGAAGATATAAAAAGAAAACTCAGAAAAAATTAATGTTCTGAGAAATAAAATTAGCAAACTCCATTCTAAATGGAGTTTTAGAAAGGAAAAAGACAAATAGATGACATTAAAAATTCTAGGGAAGGCTATAAAAGCACATGAATTAAATGGAAAATCAAATCAGTACCTGTGAAGATAATAATGCACAAAGAATCCAGATGAAATAAGAGAGAGAGGACGGGAAAAAATGATGAAACACTTTGATAATTATCAAACTGCATGAAGAAGAACAATATAAGAATAATGGATATCCCAGAGAGCAAAAGGAGGGAATAGAGGACAGAAAATTTATTTGAAGAAATAAAAGAGGAAAACATTCCGTTCCTGGAGAAGGAACTAATAATACACATCCATGAAGCTAGAAGAACACCAGGGTACCTAATAATGAGACCTGCAGAAAGACATATACAAGTGAAACTTCCATGAGTTCAAGACAAAGAAGTAATATTGGAGCTGTCTGGATGAAGAAGCAGATAAATGGTCAGGGAACTCCAATCTGACTAACATTGGAATTCTCTGAAGATAATAAAGGTTAGTCAATAATAATGTATCCTGCAGACTAATACATCAGATAAGAAAGAAATAAAGACCCTCTAGAAAAAGCTGAGACAGTTTGCAAACACAAGCTCACCACCCCCCCCCATCTAAACTAAAGAAAGGAACATATTCAAAGTACTGAACAGGAAATAGAACCATAAAATTCAGGACAAAATGGCAGAAGCAGACTTTTATATATCAATAATAACTGTACATTTAAATGGACTGAATTCATGCATTAAAGGGCACAAATGTCTGGCTGGATAAGTAAATAGATGAAACTTACTGTTGTCTCCCAAAAATAAATCTGAACCCCCCAAATAAGCACAGACTCAGAGTAATGGGTTTGAAAATAATCCTACATGTAAATGGGATACAAAGAAAGGCAGGCACAGTCATATTTATATCACCTAACATAGATTTCAAGAGACGGGAATGGCAACAATAAAATTATACAAAGGAACAATACATTAGGATGACCTAACACTCATCAATGTATTCTTAACAAATGAAGGAATTTCAAAATATATAAGACAATTACTATCAAATCTGAAAATAGAAATTAGGAAAAACACATTCATGACGTGTGACATAAAAACTCTGCTAACACCAATGAACAGATCAACTAGAATAAAAATTTAAATAAGGACACAGTAGCCTTTAACAAGAAATTAGACCACAAGGGCTTGATACTCATTTATAGGGCGTCGCATCCTCCAAAACCTGAATAGACATTATTCTCAAGAGCACATAGGACATTCTCCAGCTTTGACTACACAAGACAAGTTTTAACAAATTTATGAAGATTGAAATCATATCAGTCATCTTCTATGACCATAAAGGTATATTAAACTAGAAATCAACCATAAAAAGAAAGTAGGAAAATCCTCCATATGTGGAAATAGAACAACTCACTACTAAATGACTTTTAGGTTAATGTGGAAATCAAAAGAATAATCAACAAATACCTCAAGGCAAATGCCAAGGAGGATACAACCTTCCAGAACTTATGGAACACAGCAAAAGCTACACTAAGAGGGGATTATGCAGCAATATAGCCCCACATTAAGAAATAAGAAAGAACTTAAGTAAATAACCTTACCTATCACCTCAATGAATTAGAAAAAGGTCAACAAATAAAACCAAAAGCGAGTAGAATAAAGGAAATAATTATAGCATAAATAAATAAAATACAAATTAAACAGACAGTCCAAAATATTAAAGAAATCACAACCTGATTCTTTGAAAAAATAAATAAAATAGTTTCAAACTCCAGTTAGTTTCAAAAAGAAAAAAGAGGGAAATTCAAATAAATAGGATCAGACATGAAAGAGAAGTCACAACAGACATTGCAAAAAATTGCAATTTGGTTAAATGTGCTCAAGACAGAAATGTATCTTGATTTTCTAGAGAACTGAATTGTGTAAGTTTTTAGAAAATTTAGTTTAATAATTCTAATCTTCACAAAGTAAATTTGATAGGTAAACTGTCATTTTGTTGATTTTAAAAAGGACAAAAGCATTTTACTTTTTCATTTTTAAATTGCTAGATCTTTCATATCCTAACTCATATCAAATACACACACACACACACATTTCATGCTCTTCTCATATGTTATTTCTTTCATAGCCAAACTTTCATAGTATCACTTCTCTGATCTATAAATAGAATAAATTATTGTCTTCTTATAATTCTACTTTTAAAATGTTTGCTTTAGGATGCTAATTTAAATATTTTGTTTGTCACTAACAAAGAATGATTGTTATCCTTTTTCATGAAGAATTGAAAAAAAGATACAAGAACATTTTCCAGAATTATTTCCTAGGTCCTCCACCCAGATATATTGCCAGAGATTTATTTTTTAAAAGTCAGCTTGGTTCCTTAGTGCACCATTTACTTGCCAAACACAATACTAATGAAAGTTCCCTGTGGAATTTTCATAAAAAGACTAAGCATGGTAACATAGCTCAATAAAACAAGTAAAAAGTAAATGGCAATAATTCAATAAAGTATGGCAGCAGTGCAAAGAAAGTCTTTAAAAGCAAGGTTTAAACATTTCTTAAGGATCTCCTGATGTTTCATCTCCCAATAGACTAAATGTGATGTGGAGCAGGGACTGATGTGTTAACCCACTAACCTACCATAATAGCATGACAGATGCTTCCTACCTGAAGAGGTCATGCCTAGGAGAGGAGGAGCAGAAGACTGACAGAATGCCCATGGAGAGTATTGATCCACTGACTCTTTCCTGGTAACCATTACAGAGACATGAGTTGACAGTAATTAAAATGACTTACACACTGGGGTGGTTTCAAACTCAAATCTTCGACTGAAGACACCATAGCCTGCTGCTGTGCGTGCTCGAATTTGGAAGACATATACCGAAGCTGGCTTCAAGCCCTCTGCAGTAATAGTTGTCTCTTTAGATTTGATAATTGTATAGCTGGTCTCTTGGTCCTTGTATTAAAAATAAACATAGGAAATAAACACAAAAATTGGCATATGATTTCATAATAAAAGCAAACCTTAGAATAATTGATCAAAATAGAAATCAGCACCTACACATTTGCTATCCGTACAGATATGTTTTAGGAAACAAACCTACACACTCTACACGTTTATTTATATTTACTTATGTAGAGCCTTAAAGTATCTTCTAGGACTCAAAATTAGTGGATGACTTGTCCTGGGCCACCTACCACCTTTACCTGTGTCAGAAATAAATATGCAGTGTTTTAAAATATAACTTGAAGGAGATAAATCATTTCATTGAATATACTTTAGTCTTATTATTTGTGGGTTTGCTGTTCTTAGAAATGTTTTGTTGGAACACATCTAACATGCTGTATGTTTATAGAGGAAGGTGGTAATATCTCACACTGCCAGAAAAGATTTATGCTTTACATCTTCAGTGAATTTGATTTCTAATTATATTTAGAGCTTGAGAGAGGAAGGACTAGTTCACTGGAGAATTTTAATTTCAATGAATTAAATATGAATTAATTTAGATTCAATTCATTAAGCCCTATATTAAGTATTAAGGGAGTATTAAGGAAAAATGTAAATCAGGAATTTTTTTTTCCATTTTAAAACTCTATTTTTTCACTTTAATGTTTTGGGGGTAGATGAATAGTGAATAGAGATGAAGTGGGAAGAACATCACTGGAAGTATAGTTTAAAAACTGAAATAAAGAGTAACTATTCCTATTTTGACTGCTAATGAAAATCTCTACCTGGCATCTGTAACTGCTTATTATTGCTGAAGTTACTGTGATTGAACATCAAATCTTAGACCTATATAGATTTTAAATACACTAAGTCCCTGTCTTGAACTTTGCCCTCCCTTGTATTTTTTCTGTGTGAATTTTTCACTGAACTTGTTTTTCTCTGAAGATTTTTCCACATTTCTGTAGATATTAAAGAATTAAAGAAAGGTAATGGCCAGATATTTCGGTCTTTTTAAGAATTAGTCTTTCCTTACAATAATTTGATTAATGAGTACAAACCATCATTTTCTAAACATTTCAGGTAATTTTCTCTTTATAAATAGAAATGTGTGTTGATTTATATTTTCAAAGCAAATGGAGATAACATATACAGAGCTTTTTTTCCAAATAAGAGGAAACAAGAATGTAATATTCACTTCTCAAGCACTCTAATAGATAGTATAGTTATTAATCTTCACAAAGCTGTATACTGAAAAGCAAAACAAATGTAAGCCATGCTCCTCTTTCTCCCTTGAAGTTTAAAATCAGTTACAGTATAGTAACAGTACTGTAACTTTGGTATAGACCCTGAAATCATGTGGTAAAAATACACTAAATCCATCTTAAAATTTTTTCCTTAGTTTTTGTATCTGTAAAATGAGAGTAGAGATTGTTGCCTGGGTAAGCTGACACAGGTAATGTATGTGAAAACACTTAATAAACTATGAAGTATGGATGTTTTAGCTTTCATAGTTGTTATTTTTTCCAATTTGACATATCAAACTTGACCTCCAACAACTTCCTATATACAATCAATTAATCTAAAATATATAATCTGTAAATATTCTTTTTAAAAAAGCTTTAGCATTTCTCATTTAATGTTTAAACATATAAAATTATCTTGGGGTTAGTATATCCAAATATCTTTCCAAATAGGTATGATCTATGTTCTAATTTAAGTAGGCTTTCTGACCAATTGTATGCAAATTATTGACTCCTATATTTTATATTTATTATTTTTAAGATAAAAAATGAAAGTATTTATTGTCAGCTAACCTGAATGTCAAAAAATGTGATTCTGACTATGAGAAATGACATTAGAATTAAATCCAAATCTACAGAAAAAAGGAAGAACATCATAAATGATAAGTATGTGGGTATATAAAAAATGTTATAAATATTCTTAATTTTGTTCAAAATTTTGTTTAAAGCAAAACTTTCAATGACAATATGCAGTTTATTATGAATGAATATAGAGGACAATACAGGCACATAGGATGAATATAAATGAAAGAAACCCAATGACTGTTGATATATGAATGCATTTTTTTAATTCACAAAGTGATTTAAGTGCCTAGTCATTAAAGTGTTTAGGATTTTATTTGTTTTGCAAAGGTTTAGATAAAGTAGACAATTAAATTTTATGCTACTTTTCCTTTTAATGTCAATTATTTTTCATTCATAAATATTTATTATCTTTTCTTATCTACTCCATTACTATTTCTATATGCTAAGGGTACAACAGTAAATGTAAAGAATTAAAAAAACAGATAATTTCTTGATGGACTCCTTGTAAAAGGGATAAAAAGCTTCTATAAACAATTATAGTGAAATTCTAGAGTATTCACGCTTAAAACACAATGTGCAAGATTGTCTCAATAACATTATATTTTACAATTTGTCAATGATCTTAGCAGTGACTTTCAGTAAGAAATGATTAAATGTTTGTTCACAATTATTTTCATTTTGTTTATATGGAATTTAAGTTAGTGAAAAAAAATCTAGAAAAAATTAAAATATTTTATTCTGTATATGTTATGTCCATTTGCTTTATATAAATCAGCACACATTTCTATTTATAAATAGAAAATTACCTGAAATGTTTAGAAAATGGTGGCTTATACTCATTAATCAAATGATTGTAAGGAAAGACTAATTCTTAAAAAGAGGGAAAAATCAAGCCACTACCTATCTTTAATTCTTTAGTATCTACAGAAATGTAATAAATGTGGAAATATCTTCAGGGAAATACAAGTTCAGTGAAAAATTCACACAGAAAAATTGACTAATTATGATTTTTATATAAAATGCTAACCTTTGTAACATAAAATAAGTATTATATTATAGGAGAACATAGGAATGTCAGGATTAGAATTCCAGTCATGTTATTATTAAGTTTGTATGTAAACGTGAGTATACAACTCGACCTAGTTTTTTCTTCTTTAAAATGTAATGAAATTACTTATCAAGAGAATTGTGAGGACATAAGGCTAGAGAAAATTTACTTAACATCTTAGCACAATTTCTATAATATTAGGTTGTACAACGGCAAATCCTAGAACCAATAGCCTAATCCTATAGCATGATGGCAAAAGTAAAAAATAAAAAAAAAATTAAAGCTTACATGATTGAAGTCACAGCTAATATGTTTTGCAAAAAAGTTAGAAATTGGCATTTTTGCTAAAAGACAAAAAAAATTATAAGAATATAGGAATTCTATTTCTTGAAATAATGCATGATCTAATACTAATTGTACAAAATTGTAGGACAGTCTGTCTGATTTATCTATTAACATTATGTATGTCTCAGTGGTTCCTTATTGCAGGTATAACTGCACATTGTGTCTCTGAGTTAGCTGAGTACTGTATATTGAAGCAAAGCATATACCTACATTATCAAAATCCACAAACATACATTGTGAATGATAAAAGTATCTTCCAAAACATGCTTCTATTCTATCACTTTCAATTATTCTTATTGCAATTTCCATCAAATCACAAACTCTATATATACATCTTAACACCCACAACCACCTGGCTGCCAAGTCCTTGGTCAGGGCAGTGGCTTTTGCTGCTTTCATGCCCCTGCTGAGCAAATGAGCTACATTCCCCAGCTGCTTAGCAAACACTGCTCACATGCAGCGAGGGGAGGGCCTCTGCAGAAGGAGCCAGCTGGCAACCACCCTGCCAAAGGGCAGCTTCCCTTTGCTTTTGCCTTTAATTAAGAGATGGCAATGGGCCCATCACCATGCAGGAGCAGAGAGGCCCAATGACCTCTATTAGAGCAGGGCAATCACGGGCAGAAATGCCAGCTGGCAAATGCATGAGCCCTGGAAAGCTATACCACCTGTGTCTGGCCAAAAGCCATCCAATAAAATAGTAGTGTCATTCTGAAAGTTCAAAATGAACTCTGGAAACCTATCAGGACCCCCACCTCAATGCATGGTACAAAAACTCATTATCCTTTTTATTTTCCCTTCTTAAAGTGTTAAGAAAAACTTCTGTGTATTTCATTGATATGTGCAAAAATTTTGCTTGACAAAGAGTCCAGGATTAATATTATCAATGCAGAAAAGAAAATACTGATGGAAGTTTATAACTTCTCCCAAATAACATATAAAATTTTGCTCCTTTCAAAGGATGTAAACAAGCAACTTATTATTCATTATTGAGGATATGTATAGAAATCACTTTCTAAAATCATAATTTTGTATTATACAGGTAATAGAATATATTAATGTGGCTTTAAATAGAAAACCAAATTTTAATGTAATGCATACATTTAAGCAATTAGACTATGTATGAAATAAATAAAACTTATTAGAATAGATACTAACAGAAAATAACTCTTGCCCATCATTCATTCAACAACTCTTTAACAGAGTCATCAGCTAAAAGATCAATCATTGCACCTATTGAATATTACATATATAAGACCCATGAATTTGCTGATAAATAAAAGTATAAACAATAAAATGTTACTTATAAAGCAAAAATAGGATTTTTCCTTAAAGACACAAGAGGAAAAAAAAACCAGTCATTGATATAGTTAGTTGTTGCAAGGTAAGGAAAAGGAAGCAGGGAATTAAATATTTGTCAAACTTTTAGTTTTCCTGCTTTATTTCCTCTAAAATTCATATATTCAAAATATAGCTTTTAGTTTAGTTATTTTCAAATGCCATTATGCATTGGAATTTCTTTTAAAATAAACTAAAATCACAATAAAATTTGGAAACATGTTTATAAAATGATCTAATATATGTTCATATGTAGATGTATAACTACTTATCTGGCTTTACATTAGTATTCAGATAATAAAGTCTATGAAAGCTTGAATAAGAAATGTAAAACTTAACAATTATTTTTGGCTATAGCATGTGTTTAAATTATAGGCCTAAAGAATATACATTGCGGGCCTCCCCTGGTGGGGCAGTAGTTGAGCGCTGGGCTGCGAAGCTGCCCGCAGCCTCTG